AGTGGACATCCTTGTCTTGTTCCTGATCTTAAAGGAAATGGTTTCAATTTTTCACCATTGAGAATGATGTTTGCTGTGGGTTTGTCATATATGGCCTTTATTACGTTCAGGTAGGTTCCCTCTATTTCCACTTTCTGGAGAGTTTTTATCATAAATGGGCGTTGAATTTTGTCAAAAGCTTTTCCTGCATCTATTGAGATGACCATATGGTTTTTATTCAGTTTGTTAATATGGTTTATCACATTGATTGATTTGCCTGTACTGAAGAATCCTTGCATCCCTGGGATAAATCCCACTTGATCATGGTGTATGATCCTTTTAATGTGTTGTTGGATTCTGTTTGCTAGAATTTTTTTGAGGAATTTTGCATCTCTATTCATCAGTGATATTGTTCTGTAATTTTCTTTTTTTGTAGTATCTTTGTCTGGTTTTGGTATCAGGGTGATGGTGGCCTCATAGAATGAGTTTGGGAGTGTTCCTTCCTCTGCAATTTTTTGTAAGAGTTTGAGAAGGATGGGTGTTAGCTCTTCTCTAAATGTTTGGTAGAATTCACCTTGTGAAGCCATCTGGTCTTGGACTTTTGTTTGTTGGAAGATTTTTAATCACAGTTTCAATTTCATTACTTGTGATTGGTCTGTTCATATTTTCTATTTCTTCCTGGTTCAGTCTTGGAAGATTATACCTTTCTAAGAATTTGTCCATTTTTTCCAGGTTGTTCATTTTATTGGCATAGAGTTGCTTGTGGTAGCCTCTTAGGATGCTTTGTATTTCTGCAGTGTCTGTTGTAACTTCTCCTTTTTCATTTCTAATTTTATTGATTTGAGTCCTCTCCCTCTTTTTTTTTTTAAGTTTCCTTGGGATTTTTTTTTTTTTTTTTGGCAGTACACGTGCCTCTCACTGCTGTGGCCTCTCCTGTTGCGGAGCACAGGCTCCGGACGTGCAGCCTCAGCGGCCATGGCTCACGGGCCCAGCCTCTCTGCAGCATGTGGGATCCTCCCGGACCGGGGCACGAACCCGTGTCCCCTGCATCGGCAGGCAGACTGTCAACCACTGCGCGACCAGGGAAGCCCCTCCTCTCCCTCTTTTTCTTGATGAGTCTGGCTAATGGTTTATCAATTTTGTTTATCTTCTCAAAGAACCAGCTTTTAGTTTTATTGATCTTTGCTATTGTTTTCTTTGTTTCTATTTCATTTATTTCTGCTCTGATCTTTATGATTGCTTTCCTTCTGCTGTCTTTGGGTTTTGTTTGTTCTTCTTTCTCTAGTTCTATTTGGTGTAAGTTTAGATTGTTTACGTGAGATTTTTCTTGTTTCTTGAGGTAGGCTTGTATAGCTAAACTTTGCTCTTAGAACTGCTTTTGCTGCATCCCATAGGTTTTGGATCATCGTGTTTTCATAGTCATTTGTCTCTAGGTATTTTTTGATTTCCTCTTTGATTTTTTCAGTGATCTCTTGGTTATTTAGTAACGTATTGTTTAGCCTCATGTGTTTGTGTTTTTTACGTTTTTTTCCCTGTAATTCATTTCTAATCTCATAGCACTGTGGTCAGAAAAGATGCTTGATATGGTTTCAGTTTTCTTAAATTTACTGAGCCTTGATTTGTGACCCAAGATGTGATCTATCCTGGAGAATGTTGCATACACACTTGAGAAGAAAGTGTAATCTGCTGTTTTTGGATGGAATGTCCTATAAATATCAATTAAATCTATCTGGTCTGTTGTGTCATTTAAAGCTTCTGTTTCTTTATTTTCATTTTGGATGATCTGTCCATTGGTGTAAGTGAGGTGTTAAAGTCCCCCACTATTATTGTGTTACTGTCGATTTCCTCTTTTATAGCTGTTAGCAGTTGCCTTATGTATTGAGGTGCTCCTATGTTGGGTGCATATATATTTATAATTGTTATAGCTTCTTCTTGGATTGATCCCTTGATCATTACGTAGTGTCCTTCCTTGTCTCTTGTAACATTCTTTGTTTTAAAGTCTATTTTATCTGATATGAGTATAGCTACTCCAGCTTTCTTTTGATTTCCATTTGCATGGAATATCTTTTTCCATCCCCTCACTTTCAGTCTGTATGTGTCCCTAGGTCTGAAGTGGGTCTCTTGTAGACAGCATATATATGGGTCTTGTTTTTGTATCCATTCAGCAAGCCTGTGTCTTTTGGTTGGGGCATTTAATCCATTCATGTTTAAGGTAGTCATCAATATGTATGTTCCTCTGACCATTTTCTTAATTGTTTTGGGTTTGTTTTTGTAGGTCCTTTTCTTTTGTGTTTCCCACTTAGAGAAGTTCCTTTAGCATTTGTTGTAGAGCTGGTTTGGTGGTGCTGAATTCTCTTAGCTTTCGCTTGTCTGTAAAGCTTTTGATTTATCCATCGAATCTGAATGAGATCCTTGCCTGGTACAGTAATCTTGGTTGTAGGTTCTTCCCTTTCATCACTTTAAGTATATCATGCCACTCCCTTCTGGCTTGTAGAGTTTCTGCTGAGAAATCAGCTGTTAACCTTATGGGAGTTCCCTTGTATGTTACTTGTCGTTTTTCCCTTGCTGCTTTTAATAATTTTTCTTTGTCTTTAATTTTTGCCCATTTGATTACTATGTGTCTCTGCGTGTTTCTCCTTGGGTTTATCCTGTATGGGACTTGCTGCGCTTCCTGGACTTGGGTGGCTATTTCCTTTCCCGTGTTAGGGAAGTTTTCGACTATAATCTCTTCAAATATTTTCTCTGGTCCTTTCTCTCTCTCTTCTCCTTCTGGGACCCCTATAATGCAAATGTTGTTGCATTTAATGTTTTCCCAGAGGTCTCTTAGGCTGTATTCATTTCTTTTCATTCTCTTTTCTTTATTCTGTTCCACAGTAGTGAATCCCACCATTCTGTCTTCCAGGTCACTTATCCATTCTTCTGCCTCAGTTATTCTGCTATTGATTCCTTCTATTGTAGTTTTCATTTCAGTTATTGTATTGTTTATCTCTGTTTGTTTGTTCTTTAATTCTTCTAGGTCTTTGTTAAACATTTCTTGCATCTTCTCGATCTTTGCCTCCATTCTTTATCCGAGGTTCTGGATCATCTTCACTATCATTATTCTGAATTCTTTTTCTGGACGGTTGCCTATCTCCACTTTATTTAGTTGTTTTTCTGGGTTTTTATCTTGTTCCTTCAACTGGTACATAGCCCTCTGCCTTTTCATCTTGTCTATCTTTCTGTGAATGTGGTTTTTGTTCCACAGGCTGCAGGATTGTAGTTCTTGCTTCTGCTGTCTGCCCTCTGGTGGATGAGGCTATCTAAGAGGCTTATGTAAGTTTCCTGATGGGAGGGACTCCAGAACTCTCTTTTTAAAATACAGAAATGATCGTGCTGTTTTTCTGGTCTGCTCAAAACCTTGTAAGTTAAAGTCTCTCCTCCATCTACCTGCTAGCACTCATCCTAGCCACGTGGTGTAAAAATAGCCTTGTGTTTCTACACCTCTTGGCCATACTCGTCTGTTCCTTTACTCCTAGCCACTTCACCAAACTCCTACTCATCCATTTAAGCCCAACTAAAGTATGAGTTCTTCTGTGATGCTTTCCCAGTCCTCCAGCCAGAATTAGTTAAGCCCTCTGCTGGATTTCAATTAAACCTCCATTATAGCACTTACCATTATCTGCACTAGAATAAGCCTAATTTTGTAAATATGTGTCTCTTACTCAGTGGTGAAATCCTTAAGGAAAAGGAACATCTCTTATTTGTGTTTCATAGTCTCTCCTTTCAGCCTCCTGATGGTCTTCAATAAATGAATAATTGAACTGAGCTATGCTTTTACTTGTTTTATTTCTCAAGCACTAGCATATCAGCTCCTTGTGCAGGGATCAGGTTTTCGTCTCTGGGTCTCCCTCCTGCCCAACACAGTGTCTTATACATAGTAGGTGCCTGATAAATATTTGTTGAGTGGGACTGAAAGAATTATGTTGTTTGAACAGCATTTCATTGAGGACTGAGAATTGCCTTTCTCATTTTTGCACGAAGCATAACATTTTCAACCACAAACTATTCCTGCTTGGTTAGTATGCAAGCATGTCAGTTTTGCAGCCATGGATGTGACTAGCGCTACCCACGGGTGAGTGCTGATTGATGCTAACTGTAGATGCAGCGGAAATATTAATGAGCTGTCACTTCTCAAAATTCTTAAAGGGGATTTTTTTTTGCAATATTTAAAAACATGCCAAGGTTCCTGGAATGAAATCCTTTGATCAGCAAGGGCATTTTCTTTTGAAACATGTATTACTTAGAATACCAAAAGAAATTAATCTTTAATACGGCGAACCAGCTTACACAGAGAATAGCTGATTCTTTTGCTAGTTGCTATGAATGTATGCAGAGTTAGTGTTTTGTTAGGGACTGGAACTCAGGCAAGTTCATTAACCTCTCTGATCATCATTTCCCTCACCTGTAAAATGGACATTAAAATATGTGCCTTGTTGGGGTAGGAATTACATGACACCAGGGCTGCCATGGTGGCAGCTGTTTTTTGTTCTTACTATGGCCTCACATTCAGGCATTTTGAAGCTCAGCTTCCCCCACCAGTCCCCAACTGATCTGAGTCCTGTTAAGGTCTTTGTCTTGAAGCTGTTTGTTTTTTCCCCTCAAAAATAAAAAATAGCCTTAATCTTATCTCAGGGAATAGTGTTGGAGGATATTTCCCCAAATGTCAATTGTGGGGTCTATGGATCCGAAAGGATTGGGGTGATTTTTGGTTTGGTTTTGTTGGTTTGGGCATTTGGGGAAAGGGTTGTTGTTCATATTGTCTAAAATTATTGTGTATTTGTTGTGTAAATGCTTTAAGGCAAGAGCTAACGAAAGATCTCTTTAAAACTAAGTCACTTCGAGGTCTGCTGACAGTCTGCAAACATTGACACTTATGTAACACAAAGGTAGGAGCACCTCCCAGTGCCCCAGAAATCTGCAGTGACGTCTCCTCCCTGCATCTGGAAGCTCTCAGCTGCCTGTTTGTTGTGTTCATCTTCTAGGTTACAGCACCATGAGCCCACAGGAAGACAGTGAAAACCCTCCATGCACCAACGACCCCTTGTCGGCCGGGGTGGATGTGGGAAACCACGATGAAGACTTGGAGTTGGACACCCCACCTCAGACTGCTGCCCTTCTAAGTCACAAGTTCCACCACTACCGCCTTCACCACCCCACACTGCATCACAGCCATCACCTGCAGGCGGCCGTGACCGTACACACGGTCGACGCAGAATGCTAACCTCCTCACCTCCATCAGAAGATGAGATCTGGGAGATATGGAATGTTCTGGAGGGAGAAAGAGCCAGCATCACATCCACTTGTGTCTGTGCTCTGTCTAGAGTCATTTAACTCGTTTTCCTGCCTGTTAATATATTTCAAAACAAGAGAAACAACGACAGAATCACATTTGTAAAGATGCGAGGCTGGTTGTGAAATGGAGGGGAAATAAGTCTGATTAATGAACCTGCCATAATACCAACGGAATGAATGGAAGCAAACCTCTAAACAGAGATGGAACCTACAAAGGAAACATTGGGAGCCTTGGTTAAGCTGAGCCAGGGGAATGTTCCGAGGAACCCGAAACATTCGGCTCTCCTTAACTGGAAGAGAGAAAAATATGCTCCAGCGGAGACTGGGAACGGGGCACATGCAGAGAGAAACATGTGCTTTGAAGATTTCACCTGGTTTCTTAGCGGTACCTAGATACCACAGTTGCTGTATGGAACTCATGTTAAGCTCTAAATGATGCATCTCAAAATTTCTAAGTAAAGGATTATTTTTCTACTATTTATTGAACTTTCAAACATTCTCAAACTTCGGGGGAAAGAAAAGGAAACACATGAGGAATTTTCACCATTTATCCCTAGCTGTTTTATGTATAATGAAGTGGTTCTTTGATTAAGGAGTTTTAGATCTTATTTAACTGATACCATCCCACTGCCTCACTCCACAAAAATGGGGAAATGAAGAAATCTTTCTCTCTGACTTGTTTACATACATTTTCTTTAGAACATCATTTCATGGAAATAGTTCTTGATTTGCAATGCAGTATTCTTTTCTGTGTTTGACAGAGGTGGTGACAGAGGTGCGGGGGCGGGCAGAGGAATCCAGGAAGCTTTTTTTTTTTTTTTTTCGGTACGTGGGCCTCTCACTGTTGTGGCCTCTCCCGTTGCGGAGCACAGGCTCCGGACGCACAGGCTCAGCGGCCATGGCTCACGGGCCCAGCCGCTCCGCGGCATGCGGGATGTTCCCAGACCGGGGCACGAACCCGCGTCCCCCGCATCAGCAGGCGGACTCCCAACCACTGCGCCACCAGAGAAGCCCCCAGGAAGCTTTTAAAGAAATGTTATGTTTCTTTTTAACTAATTTCCATTTCCCATACAGTGCTTTCCTTAGGTTTCTAGGAAACCTAATATTACACCCCCAGCCTTTCAGCTAAAGGAAGGTTGGATTTATTCTCCTTGTTTTAGAGACTATAAATTTTTTAATGTCCCATTTTGATTCTGAGAATATTGAACGCATAAAGAAAGAAGTTTTTCAAATTCAAAATTTTGATTCCTAAATAAAGATTTCTTTTGAAATCATAGTTAAAAGCTGCTGCCAGTCATCCAAGAAGATACCCACCAAACTGCTTTGTGATGTATACAGAGGGTAATCAAATCTGGCTAATATAACATGGGGCATTGTAATTTTAAAGTAGTGTTCTAATTACAGTGATGTATTTTAGATTCACATTTTGCGATCCAAATATGTTATAAAAGACATTCTTGCACCGTGTGTGTGGTAAATCTTCATTTATATGTAGTTGGAAAAAATTCACTGAATAATGTTTTAATGATAGGGTATTATGATATAATGTAAAAAAAATAAAAGTGGTTCTTCAGCAGTACAGAAAGTAAACTATATGTGTGCTATCAGGAAACCTCTGCATACTGTGTATAAAATTGCAGTCTAGTGAAATAAACTGTATGAACGGACAGTCTTAGTGGCTATAGTGATTTGTTAATGGACCACTTCTTGTGCCTCGAGGCAAATTACACTTTGTAACCGAGCAGATCAGTTGCGAAACTGAAAGTAGGCTTCCTTTCAGTGCCACAGTCAACTTCAGGGGCTTCCTGACCATCTTGACTATGCAAAGAAATTTAAGACTCTAATGGGATGAAATTAAAAGCAAATAAAATGTGTGGATCATAGCTCCCCCTTTCTGAGCATCTAAATTAGTGTCATTAATAATAAATAAATGGCTGTTCTCTAACTGCTGGAGGGAATGAATGACTTTCCTGTCTTCCCAGAATATCAAACCTCTCCATGGAACACAGGGGTCATTTCTCAAGTTGAGAGTCTTTGTGTTATGACACTAGCCTCTTGATGGAGGGGAACCTGGTTGTTTTCAAGAAAAGAATCACAAAACTTAGAGCTTAAAAAATAAAATACTGACAGCCTACTCAAAGACAATGAGAGAAATGTATTTTGTGTCTTTTGTGATAAGAATCTCTCCCCATCCTGAACTTTCAGGGAAAGTGATTGAATACTTATACGTGAATAAGAATATAACCAAGTTTTGCAGTTCCTGGAGAATATGACATACAGCTTTGTGCAGTTTGGGTTGAAGTTTTGATCTGCTAAGTTACCTTTTGTCTTCTTCCCCAAGCATTGCATATAATGTTGTTTAGACATTTCTTGTTTGTGTTCTTGATATTTAAAAGGAAAAATATGGTTTTGGAAACTTTTCATCATGGCAAGCAATACTGGCTCCTTTTGCCCCACATATTACATTGCTTGTTTGTTTTTGTTTGTTTTCTTTTTTTTTGTTTAAGTAATTTTTATTGCCATATTGTTGATTTACAATTTTGTGTGAGTTTCTGCTGTACAGCAAAGTCAATCAGTTATAATATACATATATACACTCTTTTTTAGATTCCATTCCCATATAGGTCATTACAGAGTATTGAGTAGAGTTCCCTGTGCTATACAGCAGGTTCTTATTAGTTATCTGTTTTACATATAGTAGTGTGTATATGTCAATCCCAATCTCTCAATTTATCCCTCCCCCATGATCCCCTGGTTTGTTTTCTACACCCGTGACTCTATTTCTGTTTTGTAAATAAGTTCATTTGTATCCTTTTTTTTTAGAGTCCACATATAAGTGATATCATATATTTGTCTTTCTGTGTCTGACTTACTTTGCTCAGTATGACAATCTCTAGGTCCATCCATGTTGCTGCAGATGGCATTATTTTGTTCTTTTTTTATATATTGTATATATGTACCACATCTTTATCCATTCCTCTGTTGATGGACATTTAGGTTGCTTTCATGTCTTGGCTATTGTAAATAGCGCTGCAATGAATATTGCTGTGCATGTATCTTTTAGATTCCACATATAAGCGATATCATATTATATTTGTCTTTCTCTGTCTGACTTCACTCAGTATGACAATCTCTAGGTCATCCATGTCGCTGCAAATGGCATTATTTCTTTGTTTTTTATGGCTGGGTAATATTCCATTGTGTATATGTACCTCATCTTCATTCTTCTGTTGATGGACATTTAGGTCACTTCCATGTCTTCTTGGCTATTGTAAATAGTGCTGCAATGAACATAGGGTGCATGTATCCTTTCAAACCAAGTTTTTCTCCATATATATGCCCAGGAGTGGGATTGCTGGATCATATGGTAGCTCTACTTTTAGTTTTTTAAGGAATCTCCATACTGTTCTCTATAGTGACTATACCAATTTACATTCCCACTAGCAGTGCAAAAGGATTCCCTTTTCTCCACACCCTCTCCAGCATTTATTGTAGGTTTTTTGATGATGGCCATTCTGACCAGTGTGAGGTGATACCTCACTGTAGTTTTTTTGTTTTGTTTTGTTTTTTAGGTAAATTAAAGCTATTGTGTCTTTATTTTTAGCATTTTTTTAATCTTTATTTTTTTTAACATCTTAATTGCTTTACAATGGTGTGTTAGTTTCTGCTTTTTACAAAGTGAATCAGACAGCTTGCATCTCCCTCCCATCCTCCCTATCCTACCCCTCTAGGTGGTCACAAAGCATCTAGCTGATCTCCCTGTGCTGTGCAGCTGCTTTCCCACTACCTATCTCTTTTACATTTGGTAGTGTATATACGTCCATGCCACTCACTCACTTCGTCCCAGCTTACCCTTCCCCCTCCCCATGTCCTCAAGTCCGTTCTCTACCTCTGCATCTTTATTCCTGTCCTGCCCCTAGGTTCATGAGAACCGTTTTTTTTGTTTTTTTTTTTTTAGATTCCATATATGTATTAGCATACGGTATTTGTTTTTCTCTTTCTGACTTACTTCACTGTATGACAGACTCTAGGTCCATCCACCTCACTACAAATAACTCAATTTCGTTTCTTTTTATGGCTGAGTAATATTCCATTGTATATATGTACCACATCTTCTTTATCCATTTGTCTGTCGATGGACACTTAGGTTGCTCCCAGGTCCTGGCTATTGTAAATAGAACTGCAATGAACATTATGGTACATGACTCTTTTTGAATTATGGTTTTCTCTGGGTATATGCTCAGTAGAGGGGTTGCTGGGTGGTTTGGTAGTTCTATTTTTAGTTTTTTAAGGAGCCTGCATACTGTTCTCCATAGTGGCTGTATCAATTTACATTCCCACCAACAGTGCAAGAGGGTTCCCTTTTCTCCACACCCTCTCCAGCATTTATTGTTTGTAGATTTTTTGATGATGGCCATTCTGACTGGTGTGAGGTGATACCTCATTGTAGTTTTGTTTTGTATTTCTCCAATAATTAGTGATGTTGAGCATCTTTTCATGTGCCTCTTGGCTATCTGTATGTCTTTTTTTTTTTTAAGATTTTTATTTATTTATTTTAGCCACTCCATGGGGCATGCGGGATCTTAGTTCCCGAACCAGGGATCAAAGCTGTACCCCCTGCAGTGGAAGCACGGAATCTTAACCACTGGACCACCAGGAAAGTCCCTATCTGTATGTCTTCTTTGGAGAAATGTCTATTTAGATCTTCTGCCCATTTTTTGATTGGGTTGTTTGTTTTTTTAATATTGAGCTGCATGAGCCATTTGTATATTTTGAAGACCAATTCCTTGTTGGTCACTTCGTTTGCAAATATTTTCTCCCATTCTATGTGTTGTTACATTGCTTGTTAAACAAGTCTCTTCTGACATCCTGGAGGGGGATCCCATCAATGCCTTTAGCTCACTAAGGCCTCTTACCACCTGTAGCCAA